ATGACAGGATCAAATTCACACATAACAATATTAACCTTAAATGTAAATGGGCTAAATACCACAATTCAAAGACACAGACTGGCATATTGGATAAAAAGTCAAGACCCATCAGTGTGCTGTTTTCAGTAGATCCATCTCACATGCAAAAACACACATAGGCTCAAAATAAAGGGAGGAATATTTACCAAGCAAATGGAAAGCAAAAACAAAACAAACAAACAAGCAAACAAACAAACAAAAAACAGGAATTAAAATCCTAATCTCTGATAAAACACACTTTAAACCAACAAAGAGCAAAAGAGATAAAGAAGAACATCACATAATGGTAAAGGGATCAATGCAACAAGAAGAGCTAACTATCCTAAATATATATGCACCCGATATAGGACCACCCAGATTCATAAAGCAAGTTCTTAGAGACCTACAAAGAGACTTGGGACTCCCACACAAAAAAAGGGGAAAACTTTAACACCCCACTGTCAATATTAGACAGATCAATGAGACAGAAAATTAACAAGGATATCCAGAACTTGATCTCAGCTCTGGACCAAGCAGACCTAATAGACATCTACAGAACTCTCCAACCCAAATCAACAGAATATACACTCTTCTCAGTACCACATAGCACTTATTCTAAATTCAACCACATAATTGGAAGTAAAACACTCCTCAGCAAATGGAAAAGAAGGAAAATTATAACAGTCTCTCAGACCACAGTGCAATCAAATTAGAACTCAATATTAACAAACTCACTCAAAACCACACAACTACATGGAAACTGAACAACCTGTGCCTGAATGATTACTGGGTAAATAATGAAACGAAGGCAGATGTTCTTTGAGAACAAAGACACAATGTACCAGAATCTCTGGGACACATTTAAAGCAGTGTGTAGAGGAAAATTTATAGCACTAAATGCCCACAAGAGAAAGCAGGAAAGATCTAAAATCAACACCCTAACATCACAATTAAAAGGACTAGAGAAGCAAGAGCAAACACATTCAAAAGCTAGCAGAAGACAAGAAATAACTAAGATCAGAGCAGAACTGAAGGAGATAGAGACATGAAAAAACCTTCAAAAAGTCAATGAATCCAGGATCTGGGTTTTTGAAAACATTGACAACATAGATAGACCACTAGCCAGACTAATAAGAAAAAAGAGAAGAATCAAATACACACAATAAAAAATGATAAAACTGTTATCACCACAAAGGTTTGAGTCCAAACCTTTAAAGCAATATAATTTTATTAGGAGTTATACTATTTCATAGATTTACTATAAAGTAAGCACATTACTTTATAATCAAACATTAATTTGAAAATGTATTAAATCCCTGATGACCTAGAAAACATTTTGTTAAATGTTTTTGTAAACACTTCTCTTTTGTTAAGTGTCACAAAAAATTATTTGTTAATTTAATTGCTGTGACACATTATTACCATTTAACTAATCTCTAGAGTATTGGCAGAGAATCTTTACCAACCAGGAATTAGAGAAATGTTGGCCTCTCGAAGTTAAAATCACCAGTTCCAAAAGGCTAGAGGTATGACCTATACATGTGCTTTGTAAAGAATGGCATTGTTTATAAAGAATCCATAAGAAGATTTATTCACGTGCTTTAGGGTAAGTAGGAGCCTCACTCATAAGTAACTCCTTAAATTTTACTCACTGAAGAGAGAAGCAGGATTATGGATTTTGTCAATTCTCTTTAAATTGTGCAAGACTGATATTCTTGCTAAGGAAGGTAAACTTGATAGTTCACTTCTTAGGTGTTTTTGAGGGTCTTAATTCATGTATGTCTTTAAACTTGCTAGTGAATACTTCACTGAAATAGCTGTGATATGTCTAAAGATTATTTGTTTGCTTTATTATTTCTGCCTCTTATGATAAATATATACTAATAAAATAAACTAAATGTTCTGATTGTAGTGTTTATCTTAGATTATTTGTTTTTCAAAATGGTATCTGATAATCTGTTTGTGACATATTTATTGTCTGGGTCAAAGGATTGAAACTATAATGACAGAATAGTCCCCTAAGAACCAAAGTACTGCAGGTACAAAGAATGAAATATCCTTGAAATTGATTTTATAAGATAACTCTGATATCTACTTGCATTTCATGGAAATGGTAATGTAAGCAAATATACTGTTTAAAATATTGAAAGAAAAGCAAAATATCTTATATCGTTATTACTATGAACAATTTGTGATATTTCCTTCATATCCAGATATTGTGATATTTGCTGCATATCTAGAGATTCTGTATGCTGATGGTCTCAAATGCTATTTTATTTCATCTGATTAGCAATCAACAAAAAATTAGGAATGCCACTGATACTATTATTGATCACATTTTTAAAGTCATAAAGCAAATAATTTCTAAATATCACTGAGATAATAAAGAGTAGGGAAATATTCTGAAGTTTCTCTTAGGCTCAAGAGCGTGCCTTTTGCATTTAATCACCATGATACATTCTTGTGTATGAAGAAGATGTAAGGTAACTTTAGCATAGAGAAACTTGAGATTCCGTGTAGACAGAGAAGAAAAAAATCATGCAATCTGAAGAGAGGAAGCATGGAAATGAGACTTCTAATGACCAGTAGCTAATGTGTGGTTTTGATAAAGCAAATTAAAAATAACAGTAAAGGCTGGGCATGGTGGCTCATGCCTGTAATCCCATCACTTTGGGAGGCTGAGGCGGGTGGATCACTGAGGTCAGGAGTTCGAGATCATCCTGGCTAACACAGTGAAACCCCGTCTCTACTAAAAATACAAAAAATTAGCCAGGCATGGTGGCATGCACCAGTAGTCCCAGCTACTCAGGAGGCTGAGGCAGGAGAAGCGCTTGAACCCAGGAGGCAAAGTTTGCAGTGAGCTGAGATCACACCACTGCACTCCAGCTTGGGCAACAAAGTGAAACTCCATCTCAAAAAAAAAATTGTCTTCATTAGTAAAATCAGGATAATTTTTAAAATCACAAATAACTAAAGGGCGTACTAGAGAAAAACAATAGCATAAACATTTTTGCAAAACTGTTATTGAAAAATCATATGAGTATAACCAAGGCAAGTAATTCATATTTTTAATATCATTATAATACCAATAAAATTGTGGCATAAACTAAAATAGTTTGGTAATGATACATGAATTATAAATAACAATAGAATATGAAACTTTTGATATTTTAAAATTATAACTAATGATTCTAGGTTTTTATAGAAAATTAAGTAGTACAGACATTAAAACTAACAAATCAATCTTACTACTAAAATGGTAATTAAAATCACAAGAAGATTTTCTTAAAATTGAAATGCTGCAACACAAGCCAAAAAAAATGCTGAGGTTAGAATATTTGATTTTGTTTTGTTTTGTTCTGTTTTTTAGACAGGGTCTTGCTCTGTTGCCTAGGCTAAGTGCAGTGGCATGATCACAATCACGGCTCACGGCAAACTTAACCTCCTAGGCTCAAGGGATCCTCCTACTTCAGCTTCCTGAGTAGTTGGGACTACAGATATTGCCCAGGCTGATCTCAAACTTTGGAGGTCAAACAGTCCTCCAGTCTTGGCCTCCCAAAGTGCTGGGATTACAGGTGTCAGCCACTGCGATGGGCAGAATATTTAATTTTTAGTTAGGAGATTTCAACAAAATCTAGGAAACCATATGGGGAAGAGGTCCAGATCGATGTTTAGCCTTCTGTTAAATATTGGAATACATTTCTGGCAAAAAGAAGAATCTTTTTTAGAGGAGCAGTGTCAGGTGGAAAGTTTTTCTTAATTGTAATGTGCAGAAGAAGAGATGAATGAGAGCACAGCAAAGGAAATAGTCAGACACTGCCAACAGAAAAACAAAATACATTCAGTTGTGAATATTATCACAGCTTTTATAGATGATGCTGCAAAGAAAGAGAGGAAGGCTCATATACATGTCTTAGAGAGCAGCTGAAATTTAAAAATGGTGGGGCATAATCTATCTGGTCCCAATGGAATTAAAACTATTGTCAGAGGAAGCTCAGAGTCATTCATTAACTTATCATGTAAACCTCTTTTGGAGCAGCCTGTCAGAGGAGGGGACATAGCCAATGTCATTCTAGTCCCCTGAATAGACAGAATGAATAATGGCTGGAGAATATTCAAACCATTGGGCTGACGAAGAATCTGTCGTAAAGCATATCTGGTACAACAGTTTGATATTGAAGGAAATGAGAAAATAATCTCTGGATGTGTCCTGGCAGAATTTTTTAAACATTTAAAAATAAATACAGTAAATGTGCTCAATAGCTGAAAGGTTGTAAGATCTCGATCTCATTTTAATTCCTTTATGTGCTTAGCTCTCGGATCCTATGATTTTAAAAGCTAATGTGGCATATCAGCAGAGTTGGAAAGAATGAAAGAAAATATGCTTGGAGAGAAAATATGCTTAATCATTGATTTGAAAATGCTTGCATTTTGTCCATTTCCTCTACCTTGACTTCCTGGTTAGAAGTCATACATTGATGCCAATAGCTGCCCTCATTTGTAGATGTTACCTATTTTCTGCATTTGTGGGGGTGTTTGTGTCATTTTATAATTTTGTTTTTTATTCCAGATTATTGTAACATATTATCAGGTATGGACAACATCACCATCTTCACAGAATTCCTCCTCATGGATATCTCAAGCTCCCGGGAGCTCCAAATTTTGCAGGGTCTGCTGTTCTTAGTCATATATCTGGGAGCCTTGACTGGGAATCTTATAACAGGTATGGTCATTGTGATAGACCCACATCTTCATTCTCCAATGTACTTTTTTATAAGCAATTTGTCCCTCATAGACCTTTGCTGCATCTCAATAAGTGTTCCCAAGTTGATTGTGAATTCCCTGACAGGTAGTAAGTCAATCTCACTCAACGAATGTGCAGCTCAGATTTTTTTTTATATTTTATTTGCATCTACAGAGCTTGCTTTCCTTGTGGTGATGTCCTATGACCGCTATGTTGCCATTTGCCACCCTCTTCATTACGGGTTGACCATCACCCCACGTCTGTGCACACAGGCAGCAGGTGCTTCTTGGGCCTGTGGTCTGGTCTATTCAGCGATCCACACAGGCAACATGTTCAGGCTTCCCTTTACAAAGTCCAATGTGATTCATCAATATTTCTGTGATGTACCTCAAGTTATGAGAATCTCATCCTCAGATGTTCAGTTTTCTGAATCTGTGATCCTTGCTGTAAGTGCTTGCATTGTTTTAGTATGTTTCGCCTTCTTGTCTATGTCATACATTAATATATTTTCAACTGTGCTTCGTATGCATTCTGTGGAAGCTCGCAGTAAAGCCTTATCCACCTGTACTCCACATTTGGTCATTTTTGTTTTGTTTGTAGTATCTGGATTAATTGCTGTTTTAGGGCCCATTGCAAATAAAGCATCCCTTAAAAATCTTCTGACAGCCATGTTTTATATCATGATGCCCCCATTCATAAATCCCCTTATCTACAGTCTACGGAACAAGGGGATTAACTCTGCTTTAGGCAAAATATTCCACGGATATTTTAAGTTGCCAAGCAGAAAATTTTCTTGATTAAAAAAATTCTGAAAACAAAACAATTTTAGATAGTTGTACATTATATTTAACATATGTTCTTAAATTTCAATTCATCACAGTCAATTATCAATTGATACTTTTTAATGTATTTTGTTGTCTAACTATGTCTTTCTATGTCTACCTGTGTGATAGTGAGCTACAAATCTGTCTTAGCTTTCCTTGCTCAAAACTGTATTTATATAATTCATATATGCTTCTTGAAGACACAACAATCCTGATCCAGACTCCCAGAATGTTTTAGAAAATGGTTAGAATGATTTTGAGCTAAGCACAAAGGACATCATATGTCCATGCCTTATGCATCAGTGCCTTAACAGGAGCCTGTGCACCTGGGAGGACTTCAGCATATTGGATACTGTCAATCCGGAGTAGAATACTGGATACTGGATACTTACTGGATACTGTCAATCCGGAGTAGAATACCATCAGAGAAGCCTACTGTTTAAGTTGTATTCTTTGCATTCACTTGTAAACAAACTGGACAAATTAATAAAATAGTTAACTCTTAGAGTTAACTAAGGGATTGAAGACACCATGAGGAAATAGCATTGAGACCCCTACTGAACTCTTGAAACCAGCTTTTCCATGTTTCTTGGAATCCTTGAAGATTTCTTTCACTCTGTGAAATAGTGGACTAAAAACTACTGGACTCCAGCACAAAATATAGTTTGATGCTTTTGTTCTCTCACTGAAGTCTAGATGCAAAAATGTAGGTCATGTTTGATTCATCGAAAATTTCTGCATGATAAGTAAAACAGAATGAGTGGTTGCAGAGTGAAGTGAGACACAACAATAACTAGGATCGGATTTTACTCCAAAAAAACCCTGGTATTTCTTTTTTTTTTTTTTTTTTTTTTTTTTTTTTTTTTTGTGAGACGGAGCCTCACTCTGTCACCCAGGCTGGAGTGCAGTGGCACGATTTCCACTCACTGCAAGCTCCGCCTCCCGGGTTCACGCCATTCTCCTGCCTCAGCCTCCCGAGTAGCTGGGACTACAGGTGCCGCCACCACGCCCGGCTAATTTTTGTATTTTTAGTAGAGACGGGTTTTCACCGTGTTAGCCAGGATGGTCTCGATCTCCTGACCTCGTGATCCGCCCGTCTCGGCCTCCCAAAGTGCTGGGATTACAGGCGTGAGACACTGTACCGGGCAGAAGCATAATTATTCTCCACACCATAGTATGAAGATTCTTTGTTCACAGGAAAGTGTGAGTTGCATATTTATTCATGGAGGACACATACATACGTCTTTCTTCCAGAGGCTCGCTACCACAGCTCCGAGGCCCTACCACTTCTTCAGTTTTGTTAATCCATAAGAAGTAAATAAATGCATCATTTAAAAATATGGCAAAAATAGTGTGAAATTTGCAAACTCCTTTTTATCTACTATTATCCTCTTTTCTTTATAGGTAAACTACTATATAGTTGCTGGGCCTTCGAGTCAATGAAAGTGTGTATTGATACACATGTTCTGAATCTATCTATCTATATTATAATATGTATCTTTATACAATGTGTATATAATATATTTATGTAATGTGGGTATGATATAAATTAAACATGTAGAACAATATTTATATCATGCACCCATTTTTATAAGAAAGCATGCTTACATTTGCCTTTTATTGCTGTATTTCTCAACTTGTCCAAATAGATATTAAGAAAGAAAGAAACATGTTCTAAACACATGGTTCTAAGGATGCTCTTTTAAAATTTTATCTTTATTTTTTCAGATTTAGGGGATACAGGTGTCATTTTGTTACGTGGACATATTGTATAGTGATGAAGGCTGGGCTTTGGGTATAACCATTACCCAGAGAGTGTACATTGTACCCCTTAAGCAACTTCTCATTTCTCATCTCCTCTTATCCTCCCACCCTTCTGAGTCTCCAATGTCTGTTACTCCACTCTCTAAGCCCATGTGTACAAAATCAAAAAGAACGGCATTACTTCCAAGATATAATGGGGTATAAGCATTGAGTAAACATCTCTTAGCTCCCACTTATAAGTAAGAACATGCAGTGTGTGAGGCCATTCTTGCATTGCTATAAAGAAATACCTGAGGCTGAGTAATGTATAAGAAAAAAGGTTTAATTAGGTCATAGATTTCTGCAAGACCTAGATGAAGCCTAGCAGCGTCTGCTTCTGGGGAAGCCTTAGGAAGCTTCCAGTTATGGCAGAAGGCAAATGGGAGGCAGGCACATCACCTGGAAAAGCAGGTGAAACAGTTCAAGTGAGAACGGGTGGCAGATGTCATATGCTTACAAACAACCAGACCTCACGAAATCAGAACTAGAATTCACTCATCGTGAAGGGTATGACTGAAGTCATTCATGAGGGATCCACCACCTTGATCCAGGCCACACCTTCAATGCTGGGGATTAGAATTCAACATGAGATTTTGCTAGGACATCCAAATCATATTCTCTCACCCCTGAACTCCCAAATACTATGTCCTTCTGATACTGCAAAATACAATTATACCTTCCCAATAGCCACCACAAAGTCTGAACTTATTCCAGCATTAACTCAAAAATCCAAAACGTCTCATCTGAGATAAGACAAATTCCTTCCACCCATGAGTCTGTAAAATCAAAAACAAGTGCATTACTTCCAAGATATAATGGGGTATAAGCATTGAGTAAACATTTCCATTCCAAAAGGAAGAAATTAGCCAAAAAAGAGGTCTATTGACCTCATGCAAGTCCAAAACCCAAGAGGGCAGTCATTAAATCTTAAAGCTTTAAAATAATCTTCTTTGACTCTATGTCCCACATCCAGGGAACATTGGTGTGAGGAGTGGGTTCCCAAGGCATTGGCCAGCTCTGCCCTGTGGCTTTGCAGAGTTTAGCACCTACAGCTACTCTCAGGGCCTGGGGTTGAGTGTCTGCAGCCTTTCCAGGTGCAGGGTGGCAGCTGCCAGTGGATCTACCATTCTCAGGTCTGGAGGGTGGCAGCTGCCAGTAGATCTACCATTCTTAGGTCTGGAGGATGGTAGCTCATTTCTCATAGCTCCACTAGACAGTGCCACAGTGGGAACTCTGTGTGGAGGTCCTAATTCCATACTTACATTCCACACTGTTCTAGGATAGGTTCTCTGTGGGGGCTTTGCCCTGTAGAAAGCTTCTGCCTGGGCACCCAGGCTTTCTCAGACATCCTCTGAAATCTAGGCAGTAGCCAAACTTCCTTAACTCTTGCACTCTGGACATTCACAGGTATACCATAAGCCTTGCATTCTCCAAAATGGCAGCTCAAGCTGTACCTGGGCTCCTTTGAGCACTCGCTGGAGATGGAGCAGCCAGGATGTGGAAACCAAGGTCTCGAGGCTGTACAAGACAGCAAGGCCCTGGGTCTGTCTCATGAAACCATTCTTCCCTCCCAGCCTTCCAGTCCTGTGATAGAAGGGCTACCACAAAGGTCTTTGAAAAGTCTTCCAAGCCTTCTTCCCCATTATATTGGCTATCAGCTCTTGGCTCCCTTTTAGTTATGTAAATTTTTCTATCCAGTGGTATCTCCACAGTCTGCTTAAATTCTTCTCCCCCGACAAAAAAAAAGAAAAAGAAAAAGCCTTTTCTTTCTCTGCCACATGGCTAGAGTTCAAGGTTTTCAAATTTTTGTGCTCTTCTTTTCTATAAAGAACTTACAGATTCTGTTCATGTCCTTTCCCTATGTTTTAATGGGGTTGTTTGTCTTTTACTTGTTGATTTGTTTAAGTCCCTTATAGATTCTGGACATTAAGGCTTTGTTGAATGCAAAGTTTGCAAATATGTTTTCACATTCTGTAGAGTATCTGTTTATTATGTTGGTAGCTTCTTTTGCTTTACAGAAGTTCTTTAGTTTAATTAGACCCCCTTTGTCAATTTTGGATTTGTTGCAATTGCTTTTATTGTCTTCATCATGAAATCTTAGCCCATATCTATGTACAGAACTGTATTGCCTAGGTTGTTTTCCAGGGCTTTCATAGTTTTAGGTTTTACATTTTAGTCTTTAATCCATCTTGAGTTTATTTTTGTATGTGGTGAAAGGGTCGGGTCCAGTTTCAATCATCTGCATATGAGGTATGTTATCCCCGCAGCATTTATTGAATAGGCGGTCTTTTCCCTATTATTTGTTTTGTCAGCATTTTCAAATATCTGATGGTTGTAGGTGTATGGCTTTATCTTTGAGTTCTCTAACCTGTTTCACTGGTCTACATGTCTGTTTTTGTACCAGTACCATGCCATTTTGGTTACTGTAGCCTTGAAGTGTAGCTTGAAGTCAGGTAGTGTGATGCCTCTAATTTTGTTCTTTTTACTTAACTTTGCTTTGGCTATTCAGGTTCTTTTTTAGTTCCATATAAATTTTAGAATAGTTTCTTCTGATTCTATGAAGAATGTTATTGGTGATTTGATAGAAAGAGCATTGAATCTGTAATATTTGGTGGGGAGGGGCAGTATAGCTATTTTAACATATTTATTCTTCCTATCCATGATTATGGGATATTTTTTCATTTGCTAGTTTCAGCTCTGATTTCTTTCAGCAGTGTTTTACAATTCTCATTGTAGAGATCTTTCCTCTCCCAGGTTAGAAGTATAACTAGGGTATTTTATTCTTTTTGTGGCTTGGCTCTCAGCTTGGATGTTACTGGCATATAGAAATGTTACTGAATTTTTACATTGATTTTGTATTCTGAAACTTTACTGAAGTTGCTTATCAGATCTAGGAGCCTTTGGGTAGAGACTATGGGATTTCCAAGGTATAGAATTATATCATCTGTGAAGAGATATATTTTCACTTCCCTTCTTATTTAGATGCCCTTCATGTCTGTCTTCTGCCTGATTGCTCTAACTAGGACTTCCAGAACTATGTTGAGTAGGAGTGGTGAGATGGGAATCCTTGTCTTGTTCCAGTTCTCGAGGGGAATGGTTCCAGCTTTTGCCCATTTAGTATAAAATTGGTAGTGGGTTTGCCATGGATGACTCATTATTTTGAGGTATGT